CAGAGAGCTGCTAAATCCCTCAAATATGCAGACTGCCAAGAGCTGACATCTTTTCTAAAGAGCATCTCCTCAGTTTCCCCACGTGGACGTCCAGTTTGGACAAGACATGGAGGAAGGCACCTACAGCTCGGCAGAGAGGAGAGATGGGGAAGGAGGGAAAGGAAAGGAGCAGCCTGAGACATCTGGGAAATTAAAGGATGCAGCTTCCAGCATGCAGGGTTCCTGCTGTGGAAATTGTCAGAGCTGGGGCGGGAGAGAGAAATGCCAAAGCTGGAGGTGAGGAAGAGGAGCTGTTGCAGCACTTCTGCCATCCTGGGCCTCTTCACCGGCCTTCCTGGGGCTTCAGGGGGCACGCTGAGGAGGGCAGGGGTGGCTGCCGCTGCCCACAGCCTCCCTCCCCATTTTGGCTTCCAAGTGTTGGAGCGCCCTACGGGAACACTGAACCCCAGTGGTGCCGGGGCCCTCCGGGGTGGGCATGCACTATTCCTGTGTGGGGCTGGAGGCAGCCCTGCCCAGGGAGGTTTGGTGACCCAGGACCTCCCTCCTGCCCCGCAGGTGGCGGCTGTGGGCAGGACCCTCAGAAGAAGCACTTGCCTTGCAGTGATCTTCGAGTTCACTGCTGCAGCACTCTTGTGGAGGCCTCTGAGATCCCAGGAGAGATGGGGGACAGGAGGGCTGGGGTCATTGTGGGGATGACTCCGCTGGCCCTGAGCCAGGGGAGGACCGGAGGAGCCCTTTGGAGTTGCATTCAGTGCCCTTAGCCTGGCGTGGCAGTCGTGCTGGTTTGTCTGTTGCTGCCCCACCATCAGCTGCTGCCCCTGAGTTTCCAGAAGAAGTGCAGCTGGGAGCCTCTCACTATGCCAGGCAACCTGGCGAGCCTGCTTCCTCTCACCTCCTTTCTCCCTCCTCCCAAAATTTTGGAGTTAAGTTCTACTATCTCATAAAACATCACGCTCATATCATAATTTCAGCCTGCAAAAAGCCCTTTCCATGCAAGGGCCAGGATGCATACAAATTGCTGCTCTAAATCTCCAGCTACAATAAGGAAACTTCAGATGCTGACAGTTTACTTGATAAATACCTAATATAGCTTAAATAATTATTTAATGCAGACAAATGGAAAAAGAGAGCATCCATATGCTGTGTTGTAATAAATTACAGCTTGCAACTTGCTGGGCAATAGCAGCAGCAGCTCTAATGAAGGCCTCCACCATGGCCTGCGAAGGAGGGCTGAGGCTGAGGATTTACTATGGGAAGGCCCTGTCAGGAGCTAATGGATATTGGTGGCAGACTAATGAGGGATGAGGACCCTCTGCAAGCCCAGTTAATACAGTGCTGATCACCTTGGTGGAGTAAATGAGCACTTTGTCCTGCTGCTTGCCCCATGCTGGCCGTGGGGCTGAGTGCTGGCACAGTGGAGCAAGCGCAGCCCCAGGACAGGCAGGAGCCGCTGGGAGCTGGCCGGGGGCTGTGGGCAGAGGGGTGTTTCCAGCAGCATTGCCTGGGCAGGAGCAGTGGGGAGCGGAGTGGGTGGCCTCTGCACAGGCTCTCTGCACCGCACCTTTCCCCCCTCCAGCCGGCCACCATGTCCTAGAGCTTCTGTTGCATGCAAGCGCTGCTCGCTGCCTCTGCCTCCCGAGCAAAGCTGCGCCAGGCTTACAGAGTGCGCTGCGGGAGCTTGGGTTAACCTGGAGCAGGCAGTGAGCGTCTGTCCCCGCAGGCAGGTGCAGAGGTCGGGTTGTTGCTGTAGCCTGGAGGGAAGCGTAAAAGAGCGTTACAAGGCAAATGGCTCCCTGTAAGCTGAACAAGCTCCCAATGCCAAGGGCATTGCTCTGCCAGCAGCAAAGTGTGTTCCCTTCTGGAGCTGCTCATGCACTGCATTCCGAGGCTAATTTTGTGGTTTTCACAAGCGTAGCTCTCAGTCTTTACCTCCTTTGAGCTCCACAGTCACTGATCACTTATGGGTTTTTGCTTTGTTTTATATGCTCAGTGGTATTTTGGAAAGCATGCGGATCTCCTCCGTGAGCTGACAGATTACAAGGGCTGCACTTGACTGAGCTCCGGGTGTTCTGCCGTGTCGGCCTTACAGCAACAGAGGGCTGTGGATATGCGCCTTTGCATAGCAGAGGATAAACACAGCAGCAGAGATGGAAGATAAGTGGCAATAAAAAGTAAAATGTGGAGTGCCTGCCCTTTAAAATATATTAGGTGGTTTATAAATAAAGCTCTGTATTTTTAGGATGCATGTGGAATTGTTCAGCCTGTAGCCCTTAACGAATCTGACCTTGAAGAGAAGAAATACAGCTGTGAGCAGCCTTCAAAATGTTCTGGGAATAGACAGACAGGACAAGCACTCTTGCTTATTATTCCGGCTGTAGGTGAGCCTTGTTAGGCTGGTGCAGTTTGGGGAAGCAACTCAAGCTCCAGCACTCCTCTTGCTATCAGATAACCTCGGTGTGCAGTCAGAGGCAGAGAACTTGGGGGTAAAAATACCAAGTGTCTCGTGAGATTTCCAGGGATCCTTAACTCCTGGCAGTCAGGACAGTCTTGGCTGGGTTGCTTCATGTGCTGGTCCCAGACACACAAGCTCTGATGGTGTGAAACTGAACCAGACAGAAGCACGCAGCCTGGTTCCCACCACCTCGCTCGGCCCTCGTGTGCTGCAAAGCTCTTGCCTGGCAAGCTGTGCCGTGCGGGTGCGCCGTGCCAGCAAGGCTCCTTCCGTCGCCCCTCATTCTGGTAGAGCATCTTCTAGGATGTGAGGGCCTGGGCTGCGCTTTACCTTCCCTCCAAGGGCGGGTGAACACGTATCTCCCACCTCCTGTATCAGCGCCCTGTCTGCAATAGCAGCCTGTTTGGAGTGAGATGGGCTTTCCTCTCTTACTGGAGCTGTTCCACTTTGTGCAGGGTAGTCAGCTTTTTGGTGGGGAGAAGAAAAGAGCTCATGAGCAGGGGATTTGGTCAGGAGTGGGGAGAAGTGGGTTTCAGGTTTTGTTTCAGTGAATGCTGAGGAGTCAGATGCTTTCTCTGGACAGGCAGAAGTTATGGCCCAAACTGGCAAAAGCAGCTGCTGATTTGGGATGCTTCTGTTTTCAGGCACCCTGGGGTGAGATCCAGGTCTTGTCTTCTGCTGCAATAGCTCAGTCTTGCTAAAGGATGAATGGCATCCTCCCAGCCTCTGTTTTCTGGACAATATGAAAAATAGTGACCCTGCAGATTCCTCCAAGTATACTGAGCAAGCAGAGACAGCTGTGAGGTGAGCCTAGGGATCTGAGCCATAGCCACCTCATTTTAAATTTGTTCTTAGAGAAAACACAGATGATTCCCTATGTGGAAGAATAACCAGTAAATCGATCCCTGCACGTGCTGATGCTGATAAGCCATGTTGTTGATGCAGGGAGCCAGAATCTCCATGTGCTCTGGGCTCTGGCAGAGAAAATGTAAACAAACTCCAGTTTTACGTCTGACCAAGGAGATGTAAATCAAACACGTGTGTTGAAGCCTTTTAAATGTTTTGACGTTTTCCAATCCATCAAGGCCTTTAATTGTATTTTGAGTGAGTTGTTCTATATGTAAATACCAGTTAATGTTGAAATTGTTTATAGCCAAATTGTCTGTTTATGCAAATTGTGTTCCAAGATCACAGCGCTTCTATTGCAGAATAAAAATGTCTTTTTTATTTAATGCTAGAAATGTTTCCTTTGGCTGCTGCGGCTTTCACAGATAGTGTGGCTCTTCTGCATGTCGGAGCACGGTGGAGAGTGCCAGCCTCCACAGGAGGGTAGTTACGGCAGCGGGCAGGGGAACAGCCGGGCTTGGGGCATGGCAACTGCTCCAACTGCTCATGCTGCAGAATTAACTCCCTGAAACTGATCCCCTGGGATTGTGTCAGTGCTTTGTTTCTGCCTGCCTTGCCCATGGGCTCTGGTACCCTCCACGGACCTTGGGAAGCCTGATGGCTCACGCCGCTCGGCTCCAGCAGGCGTATCAGCGGTGCCCGGCATGCTGCAAATGCCAGCCAGGCTTCCCTCTGCCTCCCTGCCCGGCTTGGGCTCAGGCAGAGCCTCTCACTGGCTTGGAGCAATGTTGTGCTCAGGTGAGGACCTGTCAGCTGGTGGATGGTGTTCTCTGGGATTCCTCTGTCTGGCTCATGCGTTAATTCAAGATTCTGGTGCAGAAGGCAGCAGGCATTAAAAACCGCTCCTGCTGGGTGAAAAATGAAGAGAAATCAACATGCTGCTCCCACTTGTGCTGTGCCTAAGCAGTAATCAAGATCATCACCTGGAGATAAATCTCTTCCTGCCATCATATAGAAGAAGAGGAGCAGTTACTATGGGCTTTGCCTCCAGGTTTTTAATCATGGGGGAACACATGCAAATTAATGGCTCACCCATGATAAGAATCAATAGTGCTGGAGTGTTTGCAGGCTGCGACTCAGACGCTCGATGTATCTGATACATAGCCAAGGGAGCAGAGTTCACATCGGATGCAAGCGTGCCTGTACAGCTGCATGCAGAGGCTCTTACTGAATCCAGCCGCCTCTGGAGCTGGCCTCTGTGCCCCAGGACCACACTCCCTTTCTCCAGGATTTTTCAAACAGCACTGTTGGTCTGGCCTTTGTGTTTGCTTAATGTCAGTGTTCCTTGGGGAATACTGTAGAGTAATAGCAAGCTGCACAGCCTGAAGTTGGGCTCCCGTATCATTTCTTCATTAATATTTGTTGTTCATAAATATATATTCACTCCTATTTATCACAAGAACACCAATTACCAACCATAAATTCTAACTGTGGGGAATATTTCAGTCCAGTTTTATTAAGAAGTGATTTTTTAAAATGTTGCTGAGGCTTTTAGCCAGTTATGTGCTACTAAATATTTAAACCTGTATCTCTTGCTGCATGCTGAATTACAGCAAGGGGATATTTAATGCTCCCATTTTTCCAGCGTAAATCTGTGAAAGATTGACTGGAAGAAAAATGCAGTCATGAACAGCCCACATACATGCCGAGTGCTCGCTTGCACCATACGCCCACTGGTGCATACCCGCTACAGGCAGTGATCCAGCCTGGAGGGGGGTGGATGCCCCCACAGACATTCTGGGGGCTGCCCCACTGCGCTGCGCCGGCGGGAGCGGGGCCGGGGCGCTGCCAGAGCGGGCGACATAGCAGAGCTGCTCTCAGGCTGCGCAAAGCAGCCGGCTCTCCTGGCCCGGCATGCGGCGTTCCTGCCGTCAGCCGTCAGAAGCTACGAGTGCCTGGAGGCCTGTTACCCACCAATTAAACTGTGAGTTTTATTGTTCGACCGTGAGCCTGGTTTATGATATGAAAAGCTTTCGACAGTTAAATAGTACTAATATTAACCACTCTCGCATAGGCTCTAACAGTCTCCCCCATTAAAAGTGTGATTAAGAAATTAATTCATCTGGAAGGGATTGGCATGTGGTGCTAAACAATGGAATAATGATTTTTTTTATTAAAGCTGTGTGGAGAGAGGAAGCCCTGTAGCTCTTGCATGATGGCTATGGTGGCAGCTAAATGGAGTAGGAGGACCAAGCCCCAGTATGGTGCCGGTTGCGGGTTCGCAGGGCAGGGAGGAGGCAGGTCAGGACAGCGGAGACTTTGCAGAGGCTGGCGAGGCGGATGGACTGTCCTGGCCCCCTGCGGTGTTGTGGGGCTCACTGCGGTGTTGCGGGGCTCCCTGTGGCAGGCCCGTGCCAAGCTGAGGGCTCTCCACCGGCTGCGGGCACTCTCTGCCCTTTGCCAGCCGCTGCGGAGACTCCACCAGCCCCGCAGGGATCAGGTCGCCAACAGGTCACCTCTCTGCTTTGTGGCCCCGTACTATGCTTGTAACATCCAAAGAGGCTTGAAAAAAGTGGTGCTTCAGGAGGTTGCAGAGCAGTGGTGCAGTGTTTGCTCTCGGCAGGGGAGGAACACCTGATGCCCCCATCGAATCTCCCGCACAGAGCTGCCACTGGGCACAGGATCAGGGCTGCCCAGGCTGTCCCTCCTATGCTCCGGTGCAGCCCTGGCCCCGGAGGCCGTGAGGGCTGGTGGGTGCTGTGGCCACTGATGGGGGCTGCAGAGCCCAGCGAGTCTGGAGTGGGGCACTGCTGGCACTGCATTAACCTGCTGGAGAGCTTAGCATACTACAAATGGCAATTAAATTCTGACAGACATGGTAAAAGCTTTAAAGTCCATCAACATCTGCTGGCAGGTGGCTTTAAAAAGCTGTTATTTGCTTCAGAAAAGCAATCAGAGATTATTCTTAAACAGCCCATTTGGGAATGAGCAGGGTTCTGGGTCTGGCAGTTTCCCTCCTGGCATCCCCTCTTCCTGCTGCTCCTCTCCCCTGTTCTTTTGCTCCCATTTTCTGACCTGTGGTGGTTCGTGGTCTGTGATGGGTCTCACAAAAGCTGAACTGCCATGGGGAGCAGCTCCTTTCCCACCCCTGCCATTTGTGTCCCAGGCTTGTCCCCAGCTCTTGCTCTGCAGCAGGGAGGCCCCAGGCATGGCAGGTGAGTGAAGGACGATGCTGTATGTTGCTGTGGGAAGCACACACTTCCAAACCAAGTTTCCTGATTGATCAAAAGACTCAGACAACTCCCCTTCACCCCTGGAAAATGCCAAAACCAGAACAAAAGGAAAAATGGCTTGTGAGACTGCCTCCACAGCAGTGCTGGGGTCTGTCGGGTGGGGGGTGGTACCCCTCTGCATAGGGGCAGCGCTGGCCAGCGAGGGTGGACTGGCTCCAGCCAGCGAGGGTGGACTGGCTCTGCTGGCTCGAGGGGCTGCCAGGGGAACGAGCTGTTTGCCCAGCACAGCGCACGCCGTCAGACTGTCTTCCCCGCTGCTTCCCATCTCCCATCCTGGCAAAGATTAAGCAAGGGAGGGAGAGAGCAGCCTCCAAAGTGGAGCTGCAGTGCTCTGAAGAGCTGTTGTTGTTGGAGACAATGGAGGGCAGAGAGGCTCCTCCGTGTCTTGAAGGAGTCACTGAATGCCAGCAGGAGCTGTGTGCTGTGCTTGCATACAGATACTGAGAATATTCATATTGTGATTTATTCCATTCTTTTTCTCCATTGATTTTAATTAAGTTCACTCTTCCCTGCCAAGCCTGGGGAACACAAGCAAAAATTAAAAATGCTGAAAGTCAGCTTGCTTTGCACTGGAGTCTTCCCAGCCTTCCAGAGAACAGAGGGAAAGGGGGCCCACACCACCACACAGGCATTTCATGTGCTTTGCTAGTCCCCAAATAATAAACATAAAATTAAAATCCTGTTAGGAGAATCACATATTGTAATTTATTCCATTCTTTTTCCCCATTGATTTTAATTAAGTTCCCTCTTTCCTGCCAAGCCTGGGGAACACAAGCAAAAATTAAAAATGCTGAAAGTCAGCTTGCTTTGCACTGGAGTCTTCCCAGCCTTCCAGAGAACAGAGGGAAAGGGGGCCCACACCACCACACAGGCATTTCATGTGCTTTGCTAGTCCCCAAATAATAAACATAAAATTAAAATCCTGTTAGGAGAATCACAAAAGCTATTATAGCTCAGCAGCTGATATTGACTCTGATCAAATCTTTTATGTGATTTCACAGCATTCTGGGCTACTCACCGTGCACACCCTGATCATGTTAGCTGTGGCTTAATTTTTTTTTTCTCTCCCCCACTGAAACAAAGCAAAAAGAATGGCAAGAAAAAACAATCTAATCTTGTGATATAAGTTTGTGTCACACTTTTAAAATGAGCAGCAGAGTAGCTAGTGCTGCTGTATCATCTTTGCAAGCAGAGTCCTCCTGGGAGCGGATGCTCACTCCTGCATTGAATGTGCTGGCCTCATCCTGCACATCGCATGGGCTGCTGGCATGGGAAACCCCCATGGGGGCACTGGCCAACGAGGATTTTATTTCCTGCATTGTGTCCATCACTCAGAGCACATCAGTGATGCTACTGCTGTCCAGTGGGGGTAGCAGGGATGCTCTGTAGTGTCACTTGCATGAAGTAACGTACGATGTTGCAGTGGTGCAACATACAACTTTTTAAACAATCTTGACTTTTGTCTGCCAACAACCAGTGCCTGCGGCGAGGCGAGGGTATCACTGAATCACAGACAGTGGCCTGGTCTAACCCTGCTCGAAGCAGGGCAGGACGGGCCCAGGTCTGCGGAGCAGCACGTCGCTGGGGCAGGAGTTGGGCACTGCACTTCACCTGCCGCTGATGGGCCGTCCTGGAGGCAGGTGGCAGCGGGACCGCTGGCTCTCCCAGCTCGAGGGAGTTTCCTCAGTACCTTCACTTAAAAGCACCTCATTGTTTGCATTGCTTTTATTCTTACAATAAATATTGTGATAGACACTGAGAGTACCAGAAATGAGATTAAGGTATCCCAGACCTGCATCTCTGCATATTTATATAGCCACAGCTTGTGCAGCTACAAACAGAGAAAGCAAAAACATGGAAACTTTTTTCACATTTCTTTCAAATATCACAGGCAAGCAGAAGTAGTCCCCAAAAGTAACATGCCTTAAATCAGAAACTGGGTTAAAGAACCTGCATTATATAGGTATCTATCTTCATGCTATTTTTCAACAGTTAGACTCATTCTTCATATCAGATAGGGTGATAAGAGGATAAAGGTACCTCTTATTCAACTCTAATTTTAATTAATATGGTCATCAAATTGGATATGAAAAATTAGGAAACCTCAGCAAAAATTCTGAAGGGATATAAAACAGGACAATTTACCGTTTGCCGACCTGGGCTCTCCTTTAGTCGCAGGCAGTCATGGTGACTTAGTTTCCAATAGATGTCTGGAAATACCTGCAGCAATCTCTTTACAAAGTTTAATGACCTTGGGTCATTTAGTTTTTGAAATATTTCAACTACTAGGGAATAAAAATGGCAAGAATGTTACAATTACACTCTAGAAGGTCATATCCATCTACCTTTGGCTAAAGGTCTGGATTCCCTCAAAGCTACCACCATCCAGCAGAAGATGAGCCCAGCTTGTTTAACTTGCTGCACGTCTTGCCCAGATGGATAAATGGTGAAATACCAGGGAGGATATTATGTTTCATGGTACTGGCCATTAGCTGGTGGGTATCAGCTTGCCCTGAGGGGACAGAAACCAGCCACAGTCCATTTTCTCCTATCTGAACCCACTGGTTATTTCAACAGAGCAAGAATTTAATGGCTCCCAAGGACAGGGTTAAATACACAAGGAGAGTGGGGGCAGGGGAAGCTCACGTGGCCCCACAGCCAGAAGGATTCAGTCCACGTTAGTGGGAACTTCCAGAAGTCTCCTGCAGACTGTCCCCGCACCTCGTCCCTGCAGCTCCCCGGCAGCCAGAGCCCAGCTCTGCGCCCCAAGCCGCTGCGCCCTGCCCCAGAGCAGCTGCTCAGGCTGCGATTTCACAGCCCAGCAGGGCTTCCTGGGAGCTTCTTTTGGAGTTGGAGGGTGATTTTTCTCCACCTCTCCTTCTTCTTTAGCAATATCCTTGTCTTGCTAGCGCTCACAGGACCCAGCTGGGTGGTGGCACTAGGAAAAACCAGGTATATGAACAGTTCATGGTTGTGGTTTCCTAAGACATCTGGTTTCTTCTGTCATGGCTTGAGCAAAACAGAAAGTGGGTGCACTCATCTCTTCCCCAGGGAAATGCTGTTTTGACTGGTTATATTTTTGGCAGTATGTTCCCAGTTAGAAATCCAAGGTTAGTCCCAGTTAAAAAGCCTTGGTAACTGCTCACTCCTTGTGACCATGTAACACACCATAGCTATGGCAACAGAGCGCCAGTCCAGATGCTGAAGCCTCTCATGCGCTTTCCAGGCGGAGGTGATCTCTGCAGAGCCCTCCTGGCCCTGTGGTCAGAAAGCGCCATGCCGCTGCAGCAGGGGCAGTGGGCTCCGCTGCCCACCAGCCCTTCCTGAGCTGTGGCACCTGCCGGGCACAGTGACGTGTCCTGGACATGAGGAGAGGAGCTGACAAGCGTCACAGAGATGGAGGGACTGGAAAGCAAGTGTCACTGGGTCCAGCTGTGACCTTCATGCCG